GTTTATACCATTCATTTTTCATTTAGTAGCGGTTATATCTATATCTAGTGGGTAAATGTTTAACTTGTAGAGTAAAGACCACATATTTATAGAATGTTAGGTGTATTATTTAGCGAGACAAATTAATGAACTAACATTCATGTGATATGTACATATCATTTGCCACATCAAATCGTAGATCAATGTCATATGAACATGTGGTCTTCCTAACATGTTCTTTTAAAGAGATGATGATATATATTGTAATGAGGTGACCATTATATAGGTGTAGCTAGGTAAATTCATGGCCTAACTTTTGGAGAAGTTTTTCAACACACGAAAAAGGGAGAGGCGAAATTTAAAAAGGTAAAAGGTCTAAACAAATTTAGACAATCAAATTCTTTTAGCCTAAGATTAAAAACAAAAATTTAACGCACACACAACGCAGCACTTCGGCAAATCGACGACAACCAAAGTTTTAAATATCAATTTTTACGAAAATATCGCCATATATTTTATTTCGATATCGATAGACATTTGGAGAAGATATTTTTCAGATGCACTCAAATATGTTGTATAAAAATTAGGTAGTGTGTATATATCATATATTTCATTATATAACATATTTAGAAGTTAACTTTTTATTAAGATAAAAAGACTTAAATAAAATAAGAAAAAACTTAAATGTTGTCTAACTACTACTTATTGACCCAATACGTTCAAGTTATTGTTGACCAAAAAAAAGGATCCATTTCTGGTTTTAGGCTAAAAAATTGTGGAAATTTTGGTCGTTATTATAATCAATTTTGTGGATATTGACGGATATTTGCCCAAAATCACCAACACGAAGAAGAAAACATTTCATCGAACACCTTCCCTGCATATTCGGAGGGGCAAATTTCGCATTCTTTACGGAAATTTTCGATAATTAGAGGTGTGGCCGCACTTCCTTGCGTTGTTGTGACTACACCACTGCACTCAACACACCGTCATGTGGTTTTAATCTCCACTCATATTATGAAATAGGTGACTTGATACACAATGTGACAAGTGTTTTCTATACCCCAAAATTCATTCAATATTTAAGTTTTACCTTTTATGTTTGATTCTGTGACAATTGTATAAGCACTTCAAAATGATCGTACACCATCATATATACAATTATACAGACATGGGAATGATTTAACCCCATCATATGAGACCCATATACATGAAAAATCATCGGAACTCAATCTTAACGGAAGTTGACGGGATATGGGTGTGGCATAGAATGAGACTGTCATTATTTATTTTCGGCTTTTCAACCAAAATGGTCTCTGAGATTTGTATAACTTCTCATTTTAATTTTTGAGATTTGACATCAATACAAGTGGTTCATGAGATTGTCTATCATCAATCATTTTGGTCCTTCCATGCATAGTTATGTTAAATAAAGATTAAAATGACAAAACTACCCTCAATTTAGTAAACAGTATACCAAAATGATTTGACAAAAATTGAGGGTATTTTTGTTATTTTTCCTTATTTAATGGAAATTTTTCACGGAATGACCAAATGATTGATGATGGACAATTTCAGGGACTAAAATGATGAGTTATGCAAATCTCACTGATTATTTTGGATAAAAAAAAAGTTTTTATTTTCAGTTTCTTCCAATATCTCAAATTCATATGGGTTCCAAATAATTCATTTTCCAGAGTCGTGATGATATGTTCCATCCTTTTCTTATCCACATATCGCTCTCATGTAAGTATGACCATATATAGGACCATAACATCAGTTAAGTATGTTGTGTGTGTGTGTATATATATATATATATATATGAAGAAAATTCAGTTTCGTTTAAAATCAAACTTTGGTTTAAAGGATGGATGTTTTAGCAGTCCATAAGTTGACACGAAATAATTTGGACAATATTGTAAAAAGAAGTTCTAGTGATTTCATTCATTTTTAATAATGTTACACTTACCGTCTATTTGTACTATCTCTCTAATAAAGGTAGAACTCACCAACACATATGACACAAATATAAGCAATTTGTCTTCAGTGCACACCAAGATATCTTCCATATAATTAACCTAATCAAGAAGTTGACAAAAAAAAAAAAAAAAAAAAAAAAACCTAATCATCAAGAAGATTTAGGGTTTAGGGTGAACCTAATCATCAGGCAATGAACCTAGCCTTTTAGATTACGGAGAGATTTAGGAAGTAAAACAATCACGCTAATAAATAGTAAATAAAATAGTGGTTCAAATTTCAAAATCGAAGTCACTTAGTATTACGGTCTACTAGTATTTCTCTTCACTTGTAAGTGAGAGGTCTTATGTTCGATTCCAAGTGTATTAGAACCATATTATTGTTAGCCCATTGTGAGGCTCAACCCACTCCCCCACCCCTTTAGATAGGCTTGGCAAATGGGTCGTGTTTGCTATGTTCATGTCGTTTTCGTGTAACATCTTAATGGGTTCTTAATATGTTAGGTCACTTTATTGACCCGTTAAGAATTTTGTTTCTTTTCTAAATTTGCACATACCCCCTTACCATGTAAATATAATTACTTCAAAACATAAAAACATATTTGTCATTAAGTACTACATCTACATACTCCAAAATATGAGCTTAATGAAAAAACATCAATACATTACTAGTCTACTGCAAAATATCAAATGTGTAAGGATATGCATGCATTTATTGTGGCGTTTCCATCTTTGCTAGTTGTGTGACTCTCGACTGTGAAGTATCTGTAAGTGGACCCCTTCTAAAATGCATGTTTTAATAGTAGAAATGCATACATGATAAACATGATTTATTGATTACGTTTGATGAGATATTATGCTTACTGAGAATATTTTGAATTATCATATTTTATCGAACTTATGTTCTTTATAGTATATATGATGGATGACTATATACTATTTAGGAACATGTTTTCTTTACACTTCTTTATAGTATATATGATGGATGACTATATGCTATGAAGATGTTTTTGAGATATATGTACCTATGTTTGGAAAGATTATATTCAATGTTTTTGTGCGTATCTAATGGTCACTATTCTGCCTCTGGGCAATGATACTTATATTAGGCATTCGGGTCGGGTGATGTAGGGGCCTTCAGGTCGATTGAAGATTTATATATATGCCTTTGGGTCGGGTGATGTAGGGGCATTTGGGTCGATTTGAAGATTTTTATATTGGCCTTCGGGTCGGGTGATGTAGGGCCTTCGGGTTGATTATGATACCACTAGTTAGCATACTATATACGATATATGTTTTATTAAAGGTTTTATGGCATGCTAGGGTTTTCAGAAAACCTATCACATATTATGCTATTAGTTTTAAAAAAACTTTAGGGGTTAGTATGTTGATAACTGTTTTTATTTATTATATATATATATTATGTTTGTTTTGCACCCCCTCAGGACTTAGAATCGAGACGCACAATCTCGGCGTCCAGGCACTTCTGCATCGGCATCTTCAAGTCCTCTCGGTGTATGACCCATTCCTTTATTCATTCAATTTCATATTACCTCCTTTTAGTGTTCTAAATTAGTTGTATGCTTTGTACACTTTCCTCATTTGCATATTAATTATATTTAAATTTATAAGTCTTATTTATTTCTGGTTCTCATGTATCTTAATATGGCTTCATTATCTTCGGGTGTCGGCTAACACGTGCTTACCTTAGTGTTTGGGAGAATATCAGGGTCAGGCGTGTTAATAATAAGAGTATTCCAGGAATATTCCCGGGGCCTTTCTTAAGGTAATTCGACGTCCTGAATCCGTTTTTGACGTCTATTTTCCCAAATTCAATCGTTTTAATAGGATTTTATTAATTGGACCCTTTATGTGCTTAGGTGCATTTATTGTGGCGTTTCCATCTTTGCTAGTTGCATGACTCTCAACGGCGAAGTATCTGTGAGTGGACCCATTCTAAAATGCATGTTTTAATAGTAGAAATGCATACATGATAAGCATGATTTATTGATTATGTTTTATGAAACGTTTTATGAGATATTATGCTTACTGAGAATATTTTGAATTATCATATTTTATCGAATTGATGTTCTTTGTAGTATATATGATGGATGACTATATGCTATGAAGATGTTTTTGAGATATATGTACCTATGTTTGGAAAAATTATATTCAATGTTTTTGTGTGTATCTAGTGGTCATTGTTTTGCCTCCGGGCAATGACACTTATATTAGGCCTTCTGGTCGGGTGATGTAGGGGCCTTTAGGTCGATTGAAGATTTATATGTAGGCCTTTCGGGTCGGGTGATGGGGCATTCAGGTCGATTGAAGATTTATATATTGGCCTTCAGGTTGGGTGATGTAGGGGCCCTTGGGTCGATTATGATACCACTAGTTAGCACACTATGTACGAGATATGTTTTATGAAGGGTTTTATGGCATGCTAGCGTTTTTGGAAAACCTATCACATATTATACTATTAGTTTTTATAAAACTTTGGGGGTTAGTATGTTGATAACTGTTTTATTATATATATATATATATATATATATATCAACTTGGTCCACTCATGTTTGTTTTGCGCCCTTTCAGGACACAAGAACGAGGAATAAGATTCCAGATACGAGGCATTCCCCTACAAGTGATACTGCATCTTCCTCTTTGCTTTGACTTCTATTGTAATAGCACCTCTCTATTTTATCTTCCGCCTGTGCTCTGAATTAGATGTATGCTCTGAACATGTTATGCATTATCATTATATTCATTGTTGGCACTTGAATATTATTATTGTGATAGAATCTTCACGCTAGGGGTGGGCACTTGGAACCGAAAACCGAAACCGAAACACGACTCGAATCGAACCACACCGAACGGTTTGGTTTTGTGGTTTTGAAACGGTTTCGGTTTCAAAACTGAACTGCGACAAAGAAAATGGTTTGGTTTCGGTTTTGGGTTTTCAAAACCGCACTGAAACCAACACGAAACCGAAACCGCACCATATAATAAATAAATGTTATATTTTAAACTTTTAATTAGTTTCAAGTTCAACTAGGTTATAGATTTGGTTTTGCGGTTTTGGGTTTGCACTTCTCTTCAACTCTTGACTGCTTCTGCGCCTTGCATCTTTGCCTCTGCCTCTGCAATCCGCATCTCTGCCTCTACCTCTGCGACTACGACTGCCTGTTTGCATCTCTACCTCTGCAATTGCAACCTCACTGAGTCACTGCTTGCCTTGCATCCCCAGATCCCCTTCATTTGCAAGCCCTAATCTCTGCAAATCAAAAGTTCTGCAAAACAGACTTGGCAAATCATTCACCTGCTCTTCGTTCCAGCTAATATGGTAAGAACTTAGAACTTGTATTAGTTAGAACTTAGAACTTGTATTAGTTAGAACTTAGAACTTGTATTACTTCAAACTTGTATCATTCATCAATTTAATCTGTTTTTATGTTGATCTATATATATATAGCTAGTTTTAAGATATTAGATTAAGCAACTGTTTAGTTGAGGGCGTTGTATTTAGTATTACATTTGCATAATCTCTTTATGGTTTACATTTTATTTTTCATTTTGTTTCAATCTATTTTATCAGTTTTGGACCTTTCAATTTGTTTTCAGGTGATTCCTCTCTCATGGATTATTTTTTGTGGATTTTCATATGCAAATTATGCTAAAATTTTGATGTAATGTTCTTTAGATCTCTGTTAATGTTTTCGTTTGCAAACACGGTCGGTTCTCGGTTGTGAAGGACAATATTTCTTTTTGTGTTTTAGAATGAAATAGAATATGCTTTGTGTCAATTTTATGATCTGAGTTACTTGTCGAACTAGGTTATTTCGGGTTTGATGTGTTTGAATTTGTTCTGGGAGCATTCAAGTAGTTAGAAACTGAAACCCCTAAGTTAATGAGAAACCATGTGGTCATTTTATTTGGTTTGTCATGGATGTGTTCTTTGTCTTCTGTGAACATCTTATTGTTTCTGGTTATGTTTTTATTTGCTCAAGCTTGCTTGATTTGGCTGCTTATAGAACATCTAAGGGAGTACTTAGTTTTTTATCGAGCAGAGGAGAGGTTTTCTTCACAGTCTCATTAACCAGGTTTACCTATATAGTTAAATGTGGTGTTTGACTAAGAACGAAAAACAAATTTTAGAATTGAAATGGTGTTGGACCTTTTGCTTGAAGACAGCCTGATGCCTTAGCAGAAGAGTATGATGTTAATTAAAAGTTTTAAACTTGGATTGAAGTTGGTCGAATTTGATTAATGAAACATGCAGTTCTGGAGCTTATAGCAGCTCAGCTAGCTGTTTTCTGTTTTGTTTTTGCTGAAACAGTTGATTTTGTTTGGAATTTTTGTTTTGAGCAATTCTGTGTTGGGTTCTACTTCTGGGATTATGTGATATTGTGATTGTTACAAGGAAAATAAGATCGTCTTATGCATAAATATGTGTATATTTTAAATTGTACATTTTTTTCTCAAAAACCAAACCGAAACCGTTTGAAACTGCACCGAACCGAACCAAACGGTTTGGTTTCATTTCGGTTTTGGCTTCAAAACTGCACTGCACCGCACCGCAAAAAGTTTCTGTTTCGGTTGTGGTTTCACTCGAAATCGCACCGAACCGCACCGCGCCCACCCCTACTTCATGCATGAATGAATAGTCACATCCTATTATTTTGCTATAATTTATACGCATGTTTTACATGTTCTTAGCATATGCATTCATTAAATGGGTTTCGTCATCCTCGGGTATCGATCAGCACGTGGCCATCCCAATATCCCTCGGACATTGAGATCGGGGCGTGTCACCAAACTTAAACCCAATGGCTAAAGTAATTAAAAAAATATTCTTTTATGTGTTTCATATTCTTTTATAGTTTTTCACGAGTTTCATGGTGTCGGTTAATGATTTTTCAATATTTGTCGGAATCTAAATATTTTTAGGTTAAAATGTTCACAAAATTAAATTAGGATAGTCTACATAATTTTATCTTTTAAAAAAAGTTACTTTAAGAAAAAAAATTAGCCTAAATTCATTCTTTAAAAATCTGGAGCTAATATTTTAACTAAAATGTTGGGTTAAAACATAAATTTTCTGGGCTAAAATTTTAGGTTTTAACCCAAGAGTTGGAGATAGAATATTATGGCTTGGATATTTTGTATCATAATGCTTGGTATGGGATGGTAACGGCGAAGAAAAGGATGCACGATGACAAGTCGTCGTCATATAGGCCTTTAGCGTGGTATGTCAAAGCTATCGCTAGTTCTAATTAATCCTAGCTCACATTGTGTATTGGAGTGTGATTCGCAGTCATCCTGTTTCAAAAGAAAAAAAAATTCATGTCATTCCATGTTATACAGAGTGGTTTACGTTTTGCAGGTAAGGCCTCGTTTGGCAGCTCGGACTGTACTGACTATTTCTGTCGGATAGGATAAATAACCACCGGATAGTACTGACTAAATTAGTCGGGCGTTTGGTGCAGTATCGGATTAATAACCGTATTATTTATACTATGTTTGGTATTATACCGGATAAGTGGAATTCAAAATATTAATATTTTAAGATAAAAATTGATACTTAGGTTTATTTTTCTTTTTGTACGGTTGTTTCTTCACTTTGCAGAAGAGAAGCACTTTGCTTCTCCCATTCCCGAAGCAAAATGAAAGGCACTCTACAAAGACCATCAACACCGAAGCCTCTCAAATCTCCACCTCTCTGTCATTTGAAGCACTTTGCTTCTCCCATTCGAGTTTCGTCAATCCATCGCGAAGATGAAAACCCAGAAGCAAAAAATGGAGAAGATGAAAACCCAAAAGCAAAAAGATGGAGAAGATGAAAACCCAGAAGCAAAAAATTGAAAACCCATAATTGAAAACCCAGAAACACCATAATTGAAAACCTGGGTTTCGTCTGCCTAGCTACCTTTTCTTCCTTCTTGGGCTCCCCCGTCGCCGGAGCCTCTGCTGGCAGTTGGGAAGGAGGGAGAGACAGAGCAGCAATACCTTGGTGGAGTTCGCGTTGGGCAGGAGCAGAGAGGGTCGGAGAGAAGAGCATACTGGGCGCGAACCCGACTAATTATACCAACCTATTGGAGAGGATAGCTAAGCGGGTGCAGAGTGTATTAAAATGGTGGGCCCGGATTATTTAATCCGGTGCTTATTTAATCCAAACGACCACCAAACACCGTACATCGTATTATTAGTACTATCCGGTGTCTTATACGGTGTGCCAAACAGGACCTAAGTGTTTTCTTAATTTTTATTCTGCATCAATATTAGTGGTGTCATCGTCACATTCCTTAATTTAACTACCAACGTTTTTTCAGGCCTATGTTATTTCTTGAAGGATTCTGATCAGAACCGCATGAATCATTTAAAGGAAGTAAGAAAACGAAATAAAAGAACATACAAAATGCATAAATTGACGATGAGACAGGAAAAGAAACAAATAATTTGTCGCTGCCTTTCTCACCTCTTCCCGGCCCTTTTGTTATTTTTGTGGCAACCAAATAGACGGAAACGAAGCTATTTGGGATTTTTCCCTGAAAATTGAGGGTTGCGGATGGCTTGTACAAATATTTGGACTTTGTGAGACTATTATGCCTTTTCCGATCATGTATTTTTTTTATTTCTCTTGTAAGTTTGGTTTGCAATTTGTGAGAAGTTTAGTTAGAGCATTCTACCCACTAGTAGAAAAAACACTTTGCACGACGGAGCAAATTTAGTCGTGCAAAGTGGGTTTGCGCGACTATAAACACAAAGTGTCGCGCAAATGTATTTTGCGTGATGAAAGTTGTGTCGCGCAAAACTGTTTTGCACGACGCAACCTTCGTCGTGCAAGATTTTGGTGCCAAACGAAGCATATTTACCGCTTTTATCCCAACTTTGCGCGACGCAGATGGGAAGTGGTCGCGCAAAACTGCTTTGCGCGACGGAGATGGGCAGTGGTCGTGCAAAACAGCTTTGCGCGACGCCAGCCTTTGTCGCGCAAAGCTGTTTTGCGCGACCACTGCCCATCTCCATCGCTCAAAGTGAAACTAGAAATTTTTGTCCTTCTGTCATTTATCACACTCATCACTCCAATTCAAACACTTCACTCAAAACTGAGAAAACCCAACAGTTCACTCATCACTCCAATTCCAACACTTCACTTCACTCACTCTCATCACTCCAAAGGTAAGAGCTTTCTTTCCCCCACAATTTTGCTACTTTTCAAATTTTCATTTATTTTTTTATGACTTCTTTTTCTTTTGATTTAGTGTATTTGTTTGTTTATTTTAGACAAGACTCTAGGAACATGTAGAAATTGACTCAAGAGGAACGTGTAGATATTGAAAGCTTAAGCAGTTGCCATCTGATTTACTAAAGCTTATTAAGATTGGGGAGTGAGTCAGATAGAGTGACCATCTAAGCAACTACACCAAATGGAAATAAAGAATTTAATACAATAAATTGGAAAGTTAAAGAGAATATATGATATTTGTAGTAATTTTTAGGTCCACTTATGTTCCCTTCTCTTTTCCCATGGATACTGACGAGGAAAAGAAAATGAAAAGCTTCAAGGACAAAAATATCATGAGCAGGGGAGAATCGATCCCATGCATCATTCATTCTTCGTTGTCCAGTTCTATTGATTAATGTTGCGTTTCAGGAGGGAGAAGAAGATAAAAAATGAAGGACAATACTTGCATTCAATGTTCTGGTGTAAAAATGAATCTTTCCTTGTTGATGGCTCTTAGAATGAAATGGAATTGTAAACTATGTAACAGAGACAGGCCTTCTAATTTAAATACCTTGATGATACAGGCAGGTGGAAGTGGGCATGAGGCTGCACACGCTGGATTTCTGGGGAATGGAATGCTAACTGCAGCTATTTGCGGGGATGTTTTTGCCTCACCACAAGTTGATTCAATTCTAGCAGTATGGTCTCCTGCAATTTATAGCTTTAATTGGAAGGGAACCAAACCCTATTGATTTATGTACAATTGTTACATGAGGAGACTCTGATATGATATAATTGTATAATTTATAGGGCATCCGAGCTGTGACTGGTATAATTTGAAGGAGCATTCTGAAAGACCATTGCTTGGGTTGTGACTGATATATTTATCATCATAGGGTTTTTGAACTCCTTCAGGTTGTCTTCTTATTGTGCAGGTATAATTTCTACTTTGTCTTGAAGTTTGTTTGTTGGGTTATCCTTTGTATGGTTGGGATGCTAAATAATAGTTATGGCCCAAGTTTTGGAGCATTCTGAAAAACCATTAATTCATATTAAATTATGGAATTGATTTAGCTATAACAGAGACATGAGTGTTGCAACACAGTTACCACTGCTATTGCCCACTTCGACATCAATATGTGCAAGTCAGGCGGTGAATTCAGTTAAGATGTTTGTGGATTTAAAGGAGTTTTTATGCTATAACTATTAATTAATTAATTAAAATAAAATAAAAAAAACAGAAACCTTTGCAATTTTAACATAAGGTAAAGCTAGCATGCAAATGTGAAAACCAATTAGAGAAATCTGATCAAACCTAAGAAAATAATTAGTCCAAAAAAACACAAATGCCATTAATTTGAAGGAGGTCAAACCCTATGATGATAAGAAAAATATGAGAAAATAAGTAAAGTGACACACAAAATTTTGTCCCGTTAATTATAAGAACAATAGATCACAAAAATAAAATAAAATAAATACACAAACACTAAATTAAAATAAATACGAAAACTAATAAGATTAAAAAACTTGTTATTGTGTACCTTTGCCTGCGTGCTATGCCCTTTTTTGGTCATGATGGAGTTTTTTGGGATTGAATTTTTAATTAATCTTTATTAATTTTATCTATTTTATTTAGTTCTAGTAATTATTGTGATTTAGTTTATTTGTATGCACATATTTTTGTACATCACGTACAAAATTGTTTTGTGTTGTACGAAGTTAATACTACTTAACTTCGTACCCTTTTTTCAAGAAAAGCTTAGTTTCCCGTTTGAGAATTAGTTGGATTTCGTGCATGGATGCGAAAGCATGACTGCGGTCCAATTAATTCTTGAATTGTCCCATTTTTTGGACAGTTTGGGAATGCATAGTTATGTGTTGTAGTTTGCGGTCCACATATTAGGTTTCGATAGTGGAAATTTTGGTAACATTTCCTGATGTTCTTCGAGTACACGGTGGATATTATGTATCTACGACGTGCACTTGAAGAACTGTAAGGAGATGCTGCCGAAATTAGCCCACGTCGAAATTTAATCCATTGGAATCATAAATTACGGCACATAACTGTGCATTCTTGAATAGGATAGGGCCTTACCGGAGGAATAAGGTGACAAGACAATAGTTGAAGTTGTTGTAATTCTTGTACTTTTATTGGGATTGCAGACAAAATGGACAGACAGTGGATACATAATCATAATAGATGTGCTGTTGAGTACTTGGATGGAATAGATGAGTTTGTTGAATTCGCAACTACACACAACCTAGGTTCAACTCATATCCGATGTCCGTGTAGGAGGTGTAACAACTCAATGTGGGAGACATTCGAGAATGTTCGATTTCATTTAGTAAGAAATGGGATGATGGAGACCTATACTACTTGGTATCATCATGGAGAACGATTAGACCAAGCTTCGTCTTCATACGTGACACGAGTGGAAACTGTTGAATCTAATGTGGATCCTAATGAACAAGTTATGAATATTCTAAATGACGTTTATCCATACGCCTTGAGCAACACCAATCAGGAAGGGGGAGAAGGGGGAGATGACAGTCGTCCAACCATGGACAGTGAGGAATTCAAAAACTACGAAAAACTATTGAAAAATGCCAAACAAGAATTATATCCGGGTTGTGAGAACTTTTCAGTGCTCACAGCAATTGTGGAGTTGATGCATGGCAAGATAAAGTTTCGTTTGTCAAACAAGTGTTTTGATTACTTTTTGGGAGTTATCAAGAGGATGCTTCCAAATGAGAATTGTTTACCTGAAGATCATAAAAGTGCCCAAAAAGTGTTGAAGGGTCTCGGATTGGGGTATGAAAAAATTCACTCATGTGTAAATAATTGTATATTGTTCTATAAGGAGAACAAATCGTTGGATAAATGCCCTGTCTGCAATGAGCCGAGGTTTAAAATGACATCACATAATAGAAAGACCAAGATTCCACAAAAAGTAATGCGTTATCTTCCATTGAAGCCTAGGTTGCAACGATTGTACATGTCGATGCATACCGCAACCGACATGAGATGGCATAAAGAATGACGAGTATATGATGATGTTATGAGGCATCATGTAGATGGAGAGGCATGGAAAGAATTTGATCGGATGTACCCTGATTTTACAGCTGATCCGCACAACGTCAGATTGGGACTTGCCACCGATGGATTTAATCCGTTCGGGGTTTTAAACCAAACCCACAACACTTGGCCGGTCGTCGTGTTTCCTTATAATCTGCCACCTTGGAAGTGCATGAAAAAAGAATACATGATGTTGACTCTATTAATTACCGGAGATCCAAGAAAGTCCATTGATGTTTATTTGCAGCCGTTGGGTGATGAGCTAAAAGATTTATGGGAAAACGGTGTTCGTACATATGATAAATATACTGGGCAGATGTTCACCATGCGAGCGGCAGTGATGTGGATAGTAAACGATTTTTCCGCGTATGCAATGGTTTCTGGGTGGATGACTAAGGGTTATTTGGCATGTCCAATATGCAAGGAGAACGTAACATCGTCTTGGCATGCAAGAAAAGTTTGTTATCTTGGTCATCGTAGATGGCTCCCTTGGGACAACGAGTGGCGTCAGAATGATAAAGCCTTTGACGACACAAAAGAGACTCGGCCAAGACCAAGAGAATGGTCCGGAGATGAGATTTTGGATCAGTTAAACCGTTTGGAATTTGGTCATTTCGGCAAAGGGGTCAGTAACCCCAGACCAACTACACATCTGAACTGGACACACAAGAGTATGCTATTTGAGCTTCCGTACTGGTCAAAGTTAAAATTGAGACACAACCTCGATGTTATGCATATTGAGAAAAATGTGTTTGACATTTTGGTCGGGACAATTCTAGACATTGAAAGAAAAACAAAAGACACGATCGAAGCTCACCTCGATTTGGAACGAATGGGCATTAGGTCATCCTTGTGGATGAAGAATGTTGGTGGTACATTGAAGAAAGGCCATCCCTTTTTTATAGTTAAGTCAAATGGGAAGAAAGAGTTTTTCAACTTTATTTCTTCTGTAAAGTTTCCAGATGTGTATGCTTCCAATATCTCGCGTTACGTGAACGTGAATGGGTGTAAATTTTCAAACATGAAGAGTCATGACTGTCATGTGTTACTCCAACGCCTTCTTTCGGTTGGTATTCGACATTTATTGCCTCTTGATGTGGTGAAACCAATCGTGTTGTTGTCGAGATTTTTTTCGCAGTTGATTGCGGTGTTTGCGGAAGTCAGATGTTAAACAATTGCAGGACGACATTGTGAACGTCTTATGCAAGTTCGAGCAGATATTTCCCCCAGCTTTCTTTACAAGTATGATTCACGTGATGATTCACTTGCCAGATGAGGCATTGCTTGCCAGACCAATGAACTGTCGATGGATGTATCCAATAGAAAGGTACTTGATTAAGCGTGTATATATATATATATAACATATTCATGATCAACGAATGCTTTGAATAATTTGTAGCATACCTTTTATTTGTGCAGATATCTTGGTGAGTTGAAAAAGTGTGTTCGAAACAGGGCAAAGCCCGAATGATCACTTGTGGAGGCATGGGTCGCATATGAGTCACTTACGTTTTGTGCAATGTATCTTCAAGATGTTGAGACAGCTTTCAATCATCTTGAACGCAATAATGATGGTGGTGTCAGAAAAGAGAAACTGTCTGTTTTTGCCCAAATTGCGCGACTATTCGGCGATCCTGTAAAAGGCAAATCATTTACCAAAAAGAACATGAAGGTAGCGCATTGGTTCATACTCAACAATTGTGATGAGGCTTTGCCATACCTTCAAGAGCATGAACAGTTGATGAAGCAGGAACATTCTTCACATTCATATGCCAAGAAGCACCGTGACTTGTTTCCTTCGTGGTTTCACGAACATGTAAGTTGTATGTGGTTTGAATTGAGCATATTTTCCAAATTGTTCATGCCCGTCTTTAAATTTGGTTACACTAACAGGTTAACTTTTTGTATATGTTATGTTAGATGAACAAATTGAAGGAATTGAATTCACCCTCTTACGATGAAGAATTATATAACTTGGCGAGAGGACCGATTCACACTGAATTGTTCTCAGGTTGTCATGTCAACGGGATCAAGTTCTTGGGGGCAACACGTGATGACAAGTTATCTACTCAAAATAGTGGTGTCCATGTCCCGGGTGCGGGCGACAGTGAAGACATTGATTTTTATGGCAAACTAACTAGTGTAATACAATTGCTTTACAAAGACAGGTGTCAAGTGATACTGTTTAAGTGTCTTTGGTTTGATACAAACCCACATAACCGAACGAGTGTTAAGCAAGACCATGGTTTACTATCAGTAAACACTACGAGACATTGGTACGATGAAGACCCATACATTTTGGCAACCATGGCGAAACAAATATTCTATCTGGACGACCCTAAAGCCGGCAATGGTTGGAAAGTTTTTTCAGAAGATTGATCGAAGAGGGCTATATGATATTCCAGAACTAGATCATGATGACAACGTCGCTGACCAACAGTTATCATCTTCGATAGAAATTGGTGAAGAAACACTTCGGGATACTAATATTGTCCAAGAACCGTTTGACGTACCTGGAGTTCCCGAATTCGAAATATCAATTGACCTTGGTGATTTGCCTCAATACAATGCACCGGAACAGGCAAACGAAGATGAGGATGAATGGGAATCCGAAAATGATAGTAGTGAGGATAGCGAGAGTTATTATTGTAGTTCGGATGAGGATTAATATAAACTTGGAAAGAAAAAAGCAGGAGGGTGAGGAGAGGCAAAGTCAAACTAAAAAAGGCACGGGATGAGTTCAAAACAATGCTAGAAGTACGTTGTTATCTTCTTCCCTCAAATTATTCTTCTCTACATAGAAATTATATGCTTTGTCTCATTTTCTTGTTCATGGCTTCAATTCCTTGTACGTTGTTATCTGCCACCGACGGCAGAGGCAGTTGGTCGTTTCACTGATGAAAACTTGTTCCAAACTGAGTAAAGTATTTTTGACTCCTATGGTGTATGAACTGTATAAAACAGGAATGGGAGAAACTACTTTTGAAAATGTGAAGTATTATATAAGTAGGCACCATTTTGTTTCCTTCCCAAGTATAAAAACAAATGTTTCCTTCCCAAGTATGCTTAGACAATTGAATGATACCATAAGCTTATTAGTTACTACTTACCGTTCACATCTTGTTAGTTAACTGTTATGTGGTTTGGAATGTTGTCTTCTGTAATACTGCTTTATGAAACTGCAATTTACATTGGCGAATGTGGATTTTGCAGATGTAAAGGTAGTCATGAAAAACTCAGGAACTGAAATGCTCGGAGTAGGTGTTTCCTCAATTCAATCAGCTACTTCCATTCAATCAGCTGATTGGATCTTCAATTCAATCAGCTACTGGCGTTGTGTATAATATCACAAGTGGAGGTCGTAAATTATTGCTAGTGGTTGGTGCTGGTAGCCCCTTTTTCTTTGCTCCTTTCCTTGGCCTAATGAAGTCTGCAAACTATTGTAAATGTTCAGGTCCTTCTGTTAACATAACATTTGGGGCTGTTGTGGATGATCGCTACGACGGAGAGCTTCATGTGACTATTATTGCAACAGGCTTTTCGCAGTCATTTCAGAAGACACTACTAATTAACAGACCCCAAGGCAGCAAAGCTGCTTGACAAGGTTGCAGGGGGCAAGAAAGCAGAGCCACCACCATTTCATCAAAACCGTCGCCGAGAAAGCTTTTATTTTAATTCAATTTGTATTTTTTCTCAGTCTCTTGTGCATTTTGCCTTGTAATGATACTAAAGTTCCAATCTATGAGATTTCATGTCACTATTTTCAGTCAATTCCTTTAATCTATTTCACCTCCCACCTTTTACTTTCACTGCGTTTTATAACAAAATTTCAAGAAGCACGAACTTGAGATTGGCTAAATCAGTGGTCTCTCAAATATACGTACACACATTACATGTTTCAGTCATTTTTCCTCATGAAAATGTGAAAACAAAAATAAAAAATTGAAGAGTTGGTAGACGTCAATGTTGAAGCCATCTGCTTTATTTATTTTTGGCCCCAGCAAGCTATCTCGGTTGGAAGAGTTGGACGTCAATGTTGAAGCCATCTGCTTCACTTTCGATCTTAAATTTCCTATCATATCCTTTCAACGATTCATCTCTTTCTCTGATCTGAGTTTCAAAAATGGCAGCATAAAGAATGTCATACAATGATAGCCAGAAGTATGTTTAACATTATGAAGGACTATCTTACTATAACTGTGTTTGATTTTTATCAAAAGTTTCATGAGCTTCTATCACAAACGGTGATCACATGAAATACAAACTTAAAGAAGTCATAACTTGGGAATAAACCTCGTCACATGCTACATTGACCAATAGAAACCGGAAATGAAAGAAGAGCATACAACAGTGTTCAATTCCTATATTTGTTCCAATAGCAGTTTGGTGTATGCATTAAAACAAGTCAACTGTGATTACTTAAAAGAAGAGAATTAAGATTGAAGCAGTTGTTGTTCCATCCTTCTTCAAAGGAAACTTGAACTCAATCTCTAAATTCAGGAAACTTGTTAGACTGTTGGCAACCATGGAAATGATTTCCTTGATTTTGAGAGGATCATTTCTGTGTTTATGGCTAAGTATTGCAAACACTTCCGCTTCTTGTCTGGAATGTCCATCTTGAAGCCCTTTCAAGTTAGCATATTCTTCCAAGAGCCTGATCATGGTTGTAACAATTTGCACCAGCAAGAGCACGATTTGACCAAACTGAGATAGAAATCAGCATGTACGCTTGATTTCTATCTCAACTTTGTAATCCTGAGTTTTGGACAGTTGAAGATCTGAATTTTTACCTTTTTTCTTAAGCTTATTTCGAAAGCTTCTTTTCCTGCTAAATGTCGTCTCCTATAATAGGAAAGCAAACTAATAATTACCAAGATCCACCAAAAAGACTCCATCGTCAATCAGAGCAGTAACAACATAGCAATATGCAATTCATTGTCTAAAACTAAGGATTAGGTGGAAGCAAAACGGTTGAATCATAATTAAGAATATCTTGTTTCAAATGGTATGTTTTTATACTTACCACAGGCAGATCAAGTTCTCCTGCTCTACGAACTGCAGCAACCAGGTCACGGTTAGATTCTGTATACATGCTAGTCACAAGTCCATATTGACCAGCTCTGGCTGTACGACCAACCCTGTGTATAAAGTCCACAGCATAAGTACCAAATTGAGAGGACTAGCAGCAGCCATAGCTGAGTCCTCTTTGTCAAACTGAACAAACCCAAAACCCTTTCTCTTCCCATTTTCGTCTACTACATTGAAAGAGATGAGAACGCAGGTCCTCTCCATTAACCATGTTGTATAATTCCTCTGATTGAACTTGTTGCTCTGATTGATGACAACCCTTTGATAAGATATATTGTCACAAGGATCAGTGAGAGTGTGACACCAACCCGGTTGCTGGAAAATATGGTCTTTCGCTATGCAATTAGGAAAGCAAACGGCATCCTGGTGTACATCAACCCTATTACACAATTCCTGATTCGATTTCGATAACAAGCTGGTGAAAATAGAATAGTCAAGCTGGGAAATGGCCATGATTGTCAATGCACAGCTATGTAACAGTGATAAGCAGAGGAACTGCTTGATAGCATTGATATGACCCAAACACCCATTCTCCTCAGTGAAACTAGCTGCAAGATCTTTAGGCGAAGAACGACAAACAAGTACAACAATATCCAAAGCTTCCAGGTTGCTACTCAATGACATATTCTCCGTATTATGCCTCTTAGACATATCATCAAACAGATGGAATGCATAGAAATTTTTCTTCACAAATTTACCCACAAGATACCAATTAACTCATCCACATTTCTCAATCAAGAAGTCTTCATACATGATCACAATAACACCAGTATAATATGGTAGAATAAACTGCAAAATCCAATACCATTTGTCCTTCCGATTTGTAAAATTTGAACCAATTCAAGTAAATATTCAATCACAGCAACTGCTGCTCAGATAAAATCGATGCAAATTCAAAACTTGAAACAAAGTAAGAAGTAATTAAACAACATGCACAAACCTAAACGATCCCACATAACCCATAATTCGCCAAAAAAAATGCTGATGGACCCTAAATTCTAATCGAAATTGTCAAAACGAAACCAAGAAATTTTTTATCTCGATCATAAATATACGGGGGGAAACAAGATTGAAATAGATATGATCCCAATGTAGAGGGTGATGAATTACCTGATTTAGGGATTGCGAATGTGGGCCGTGAAGAATGGGGAGATCGGAAGGGAGGGCAGAGACTGATCCTTGCAAAAGGATGATGCTATTTGTGCAATCGGGTAAAAACGTTTTGCGCGACGTCGCGCAAAGTGTTTTATTTTTTTTTCCCTTTGCTTTTTTTTTGGGTTCTTGCATTGCCTTTTTTTTTTTTTTTCGTATCCACTTGTGTAAATGTTTTAAATTGACGATCGAATTAGTTCATTATATTCATATAGGATTAAAGAGTGTAGCTGTAAAAAATCATCAAAATCGGAGTTAAAATAACCGTTAAATCGTGAATTTTCGTTTACAACCGTCGAAACGTTTTGTCCCGTAACTTACTTGTGAACGTTTTTTTTTGAGATTTTTTGCGTATGCGATCTTGAAGCATATACAAACAAGTTTGACGGTTGGATCGTTGAAACTAGTCTCGTAGAATGCGTATCCCATTAAAACGATATATTCCCTAGCACTTAGATTTTATTTATACTTGCATCAACTATAACATAAGATTTTGTGGTATCCACTTGTGTAAATGTTTTAAATTGACGATCGAATTAGTTCATTGTATTCATATAGGGTTAAAGAGTGTAGCTGTAAAAAATCATCAAAATCGGAGTTAAAATAACCGTTAAATCGTGAATTTTTGTTTACAAACGTCGAAACGTTTTGTCCCGTAACTTTACCTATGAACGTTTGTTTTTTGAGACTTTTTTCGTATGCGATCTCGAAGTATATACAAACAAGTTTGACGGTTGGATTGTTGAAACTAGTCTTGTAGAATGCGTATCCCATTAAAACAATATATTCCCTAACACTTAGATTTTATTTATACTTGCATCAACTATAACATAAGATTTTAGGGTATCCATTTATGTAAATGTTTTAAATTGACGATCGAATTAGTTCATTGTATTCATATAGGGTTAAAAAGTGTAGCTGTAAAAAATCATCAAAATTGAAGTTAACAGGCTTTGCGCGACGCATGCCCGTCCTTCTGTCACTACCTTTGCGCGACAGTTTTTGCGCGACGAAGGTCCATTGTGCTAAGTTTTGCGCGACCTTTTGGGACTTTGCGCGACGAAGGACCTGCGTCGCGCAAAGTGTTTTTGGTACTAGTGACCTCTATTTCAGTATAACGTACGAGTCAACGTTGTCCAAATACCATTCAACAATGCTTATATGTTTAGATTTTGTTGTTCTCAACGTTTCCAGGATTCTCATTTTGCATATGTCGTTATATACCAGACTGATCTTGTGATATAACGAAATGTCAAAGTGGCGTTGTTGCTGCTTGTACAAGGAACTACCTCAGGATGTGAAAGATACACCTGACCGGCTAACTTTAGTGATTTCATGTAAGTTTTCTCCTCTGATGCCACGGAAAGAGAACTTGTTCAAGTATTAGCAGAAACACATACGATGGATGGCGAGCTAATCAGTTCAATGAATTTTATAGATAAAGATCACAAACTCGAATCATATATAATTATGCCAGCATATATAGAACAAGTGCTGCATCATAAACTGAAAACATACAAATTAACTTCAGTTTAAGTAGATGGTTTAGTACTCAATTTTTTCAGCACACACGTAAAACCCTTCAATAACCAATAATAATATTACTACCTGGCCACACACTCTTAAGCTTATATCTTGCTGTCACAATCCACAAGAATTTTCTTCATGTTATCAACCAGCTCCAGCATTTGCTCTCTCGAGTGCAACGGTGTTGGATACACACAAACACAGTCCAACCTTCCATTCCTTATTGTGTCGAAAACCGCAATGGAAGGGCCGATGCCATGCACCGAAGAGCAGCCGATGTAGTCATCTACTCCCAGCTCTCGCTGTATGTCATTGTAATCGTCAATGATCGTGTCTTCAAACACTGTCATAAATGATGTTCTCAGTGAAGATGATGGGGTTAAGGCCGGGTTATCGATGGCCTTGCACATCACAAAGCTCAGGGTAGCCAAATCCGTGAAGTGTTTGTCGTTCTTTTTGGAGTTTGCAAAGGCCGTGTAGGTTTTCTTGGCCAGCTCCCATAGATTTTCTCCTCCTTTTATGGTGTGGACGAGGGGGATGACAGAGTGGTAATTCCCTGAAGGTCAAACGGTAGTTCTCTTTATTACCATCACGGGTAGAAAAATCCTATAATTGTATGATCTAAATAAAAAACAAATCATAGAGTTCTCATCCAGTACGACCTTTTGTAACTATATATGTTTTGTAGCATCCTCTCACACAAGAAAAACTTATGTGAGATTGCTCTTGCCACGTGACACGAGTGGATTGGTCAGCGACATGTGTGTAAATTCAATTTCAAGATGCCATCTCATACATTCATTAATTCTAGATATGCTGCTATTAATTTATTGAGTAATCTTAGCAAACCAAGTTACTGTCAAGTCTCTCTCGCAAGGACAAATAGATAGGTCAGGTATACTAGACACAAACCCAAACATGTCTAGGATTATGACTTTTCACGCCTTCGATTTATTATAGATAACCATAACATGTCAGAGCAACTTCTATGGCACGAGAGTTGTTACAATAACAAAGTACTTGTTTTGTGAAAATCATCTCTTACTGTGTGTTCGTTTATGTATGTTTAAGATCACTGAGAAACTAGTGTGAATTACCAAAGTGGTGAATTGAAAGAGCTGGATCAAGATCCGAGCGGCAATCAATGAGTGTCAGCACTCCATACTTCTTCTTTTGATTAGGTTTCGAGCATTTATCTGCTGCAATCAATCCAGCAGCCACCAATGCTCCACATAGTTTAATCTCTCTGGCCTTGCATCCCTACAAATTTTGATTTCATATAACACAAGGGTCTCAACAAACCCTATATATTTTGACCAAAGAAAAACCTTATATATATAAATGAGAGTTATTAGGTACCGGTACTCATATACAGTGTTAGAGTATATTTTGATACAATACTATTGATAGTCTGCTGTTATTGACACTCTAAAAATATCATTCTGCACTTTCTATTTTTTTTTTTATATATACAAATTTCTTTTAGATTTTTTTAAATTTAGAGTGCATGATGACCTTTTTATAGTGACAATAACATCTCCATATCGATATTTAGAAATATCAACACTCTATCAGCTACTGTAAATTAGTAGCGGTACTACTCATTACAAGCTTGACGGAAAAGTTGAGGCTGCATGCATATATATACATATAAAACTTACAGTGAGAATCCTCTTCGTTTCATCTTGATTCATCTGAAACCTCACCACCTGGGACGATCTAACTGATTTGTAGTCTTTGAATTTCAAACTTGACAGCCTGACGGTATTCAGAGAGTAACTAATCATGTCACCCCCACGACTCCAAAAGGGTTTCTTAGCAACCCTAGCAGGAACAAGATCCTCAATTCCAAAATTGGCCTCCCCTTTATTCCCAGTTTCCTTCACTATCCCTTTCCCCTCTCCACCATCATCACCATCATCAGCACTCATCAAGAACCCTAGCAACTCTCTCAGCATTGTCTCAGCTGTAGTGTGGTCGCATGCTGCCACGTGGAACCTCATCACTGCCACCCACTTGGCGTCCGGTAGGGTGTAGATGGTTCCAAAGAACATGTCATGATCATTTGGCGGCGACGACGATGACGACGAAGTAGTCTTAGTCCAAGTGTTTTGGTTGAGCTCATGCTCAAGGATCAGATGGAAGGGAGAGACTGAACTGTTGCTAGGGTTTGAGAGGGTTTCAAGGATTTCCAAAGTTGATGAGAGGTCCAATGTTTTGATTTGGACAAAAGGAGTAGGGGATGTGACAAAGGAGAATGTGTTTGCTTTGGTATTGGTATGGAGCCTAGAGTTGAGGATTGGGTGGGCATTTTGGAGTTTGTGAAGGGCGGTTTGGTATTTGACCATATCCGGGGCTTTGGATATGTCAAAACCTAGCACCGTTATGCCCGTGCCGCCGGGGACCGCCCGGCACCAGCTGTTCTCCATGGCACCAACTGCCCGGCCTTTTGGTTGCTCAGCCATTTTCAAAAGCCTAGTTGGTTGTGGTGGTAGTGGCAGTGGTAGTAGTAGTAGTCAAGGTGGTGGGATTTTATACAATATGTGCATAAATTATAAAGAGTTGGGATTGTAAGAACTGTAAAACAAATTGGTGAATTTTGCATTAATTTTCTATCTGCCCTCTGTTTGGTTGGTGGTTGCTTTGATGATGCATTAAAGAAATCTTGAAGGCCCAATTAATTTCTTAGCTATTTTACGAGAATGGACTAAATTTGCCATGCATCTCAACCATCCTTATGTGTAGGTTTAGGATTTGAACTTTGGGGCTTTTAGTGTTTAAAGTTAAAATTTTTAAGATAGCAATATAGTGTGAAGTGTGCAAAAAAAAATTTATTCATTGAGACATTGCGTCGAATAATTGGCGGGCGTGTGTTGTCAGCTAACCCATGTTACGCACAGGTATACGGATATTGACATATGCCGAAACAATCTGAGTAGTATCAAGAGAATTTGGCGTGTGTTGTCTACGCAATTTGTCGAGATATGCCTAGCAAATATTACATCAAATACTTGGTTTCCACAAAAGGACTTGTACCAAACATTTGAAGGGTCCTCATAAGATCTTCACATGAATATTTTCCAAACCCCGGGTGGTCCTGAGACCTTGTTCCCAATGTACATCCTCCTCTGGTTACCTAATGTTTTATTATTATTTAGAAATACTAGTAATGGGGCATATCGGTCTCATCATCAACCACATTATAACACGTGTAATAATAGTATTATGTGAGGGTATTTTAAGTGAACACAAAAAATTTCCATTGGGAACGAGTTATATGAAATGAGGATGATAAGGTGACGATATCTCAAAATAATCATGTGAAAATGTTAAAACACGTAAGTGACGTATGTATGATATATAATGGGGTGTGCTATCCACACACGCCTTTTTACTTCTTACACACCCCTTGTTAATTTATGTCCGTTGATCTTCTTTAATTCATCCGATCCGAAGGCCGAAAACCAAAAAAATGTGAGAGAAGTAAAAAATGGTGTGTGGATATCACACCCCTATATAATTTGAGATACAACTAGAGACGTTCCGTTGCAAAATGAGGCCTTTCTAATTTAGTACCTTAATGTGATATTTTTCACAATAATATAAATTGGAGGTGCATCATACTAGATTTCTTAGAATAAGAGATGAATGATGATTTTTTTTTATATATAATGAGAACATGAAGAAAATACGGTGCCTAATTTAAAGCAAGGCCTAAAACGTATGCCATATTCATTTTGTCTCCGGGCCGCCTCTGGACACAACCATTTTAATGTCTCTTTTTCCTATAAGGTTCGTTTGAAATTGTTTTTAAAATGAATGAAAACGTTTTCTATGAAAAATGTTTTAGAACCAATCTTTAGTTAAAATGCAAATGAATCTTGGAAAAGTATTTGAAATGTTTCCTACAATAAGCATATAAATAATGTTTTTTACAAGAAGCATTTTTAATGCTTTTGAAATCCAAAAATATTTTTTTAAACCAATTTTAATCATTTGAAAAACATTTTCAAACAATTTCTAAGCCTCTCACCCATTCCACATCAGCCGAAGTTCTTTAGCATTAAAAACTCATATCTTAATGCAACTTAAAGAAAGTGCCAGCCTCCTGTCTCTCTTTTACTCGCATTAACTAATTCTCCTACAAAAACAGAGATTTCCTCTCGTCAACAAACGATGCTGACAATTCTTCTCGTCCTGTTGTCTCTTTTCCCTCATTACTACCTTTTTTTTATATTGAGTTTAATTTCATAATTAGTTAGCAATAATATGGTTAGTTAAAATTCGTTTTTGACAATAATCGAATCTAAGACTTCTTATTTACAAGTGAAGATGAATATCATTAGATCGTAATACTAAGTGACCCCTTATTAATTTCACATAGGAAAATTGTTTGAGGTCTGGGTGGGCATGTGCCCATGAGAGACTAGTTTGGTGTCAAGAATTGAGAAAAAAAAAATGGTGATAATTCTCGAAAAATAAAAACACGAAGAGGGATCTGCAGAGGAATTTATTGATATGCAAAATCAAGAGAAACATGGCTCCTTCATTGTTTTCCATTTTGGTGTGAAACAAGAACGAGCTTTCATAAGTTCATTTTCTTAGGTACAACAATAGCTTATCGGCCATCCACCAAAATAAATTTAGGTAAGGAGCTCCATCACTGGCATGTTAAATATCAATGAGTTCAGTTACGTTGTATTGGAAGCTTTAAAATTTTTAGGTGATTCGAAGTACTCGATATTTTGGATCATGCCAAAAAAGAGCTAAATACTGCACCGGGCGTATTCGGTAAACTTTGATTTCTTTAGCGAGGAATTTATTATTGATTTCATGTTATAGATCAGCCAAGCTGCATTTTCATCATTATCATTTTACCTGCTCCACCTAACTGTTAACTCCTTTCCACCAATCTCCGGAGGTAAAAAAATTAAGGGCAGGAGGTTTTTAATGTGTTTTTAACTTCCAAACGAGCCTATGTTATCAAGATTTTAGAAAAACAGTTAGCAATGTACTATAAAATAAATTGATATTGTCTCTCCGAAATAAGATATAAAATGAAAATGGGGTTTTAACTTCAATATACACGACCACACTATCATATGAGTACGCAATTTATATTTATACCACATCTTAATTGAATTGTACAAAAATTCAACGACTTGTACTCACTTCTCAGCCACATGATTTTGACTTCTTATAAAATTTACAATATTATTTTAATACTACCTTGGGAGCAGCCTCTTCATAAAATGGGGGTAAGGCTAGCCGACATTCACCTCTCCCAGACCTTGCGTAAAGCGGGAGCCTTGTGCACTGGGTACGACATTTTTATTTTAATACTACGACATCTTACTAGGAGAAATAGTAGACTTTTCTAGCATAATTAATCCTCCTTGTCTCTTGCTTTGCTTTTCTTGTTGTGGAATAACCAGCAACCAGGTAAGATATTGCTACAGAATCCCTTAGTCGTAGTTTGTTGATCAGACTAACTAAAACGCAGAATTTGGCATCAGCTTCTCCATAGTATCACTATCATGATTTCTTAATTTTTGTACAATAACTACTGAGTTGTGGATACCTCATGCTTATTTATAATGTTTCAATCGAATAAATTAAAACAATCTAAAAATCAACGGACAAAAAAATACAGAATATGCAAATGGAGAAAATGAGTGTGTAGAAAATTTCCTAGGATTTTATTTTCACGGGGATGATGAACCCCCTGTTGTATTTATTCTAATATAATTGTGAATTGATTCCCTCTGAATCAATCTTATTTCATGTTTTGGATACACGTAAGATTGATTGAGTTCTTGACAATTATGTACTTATGATACCTAACTGATAGGCTAAGAAAATAGGATTTGAGATTCTTTTATGGACGAAACCCTAATGCCTTGGCCAGTATAAATAGTAAGGTCCCTACAAACCCTAGATACACAACAAACCAAACCTGACAGACACATTTTTTCCTTTTGGGAGGCTTCCCATAAAGTAGTTGTATCCGGCTAGGTGTTTGTAGAAGATCTCGATATTGCAAAAGCTTTTCTTCGTGTTCAAATTTGATGGAAATTGGGTAATTCACCAGATCGGAAACAAATGTTGCTTAGACTATCGATCACAATATGGTCTAAAGAATATGAACAGATAGTGATTATAGAATTGAATGAATCTAACAAAAAAGGATTGACAAATATATAGAGATGAAAATAACCTTTCTGGAGGAGTTGTATTCTTCAGGGGAGGTTATAACTTTTCACATTGAAATACAACTGTTCATATCTTTTTAGAATTAAATAAATAAATAATTATATTATTTCCTTTATTAATTAATTAACTTCTTTCACTACAATCATATGTATATTAGTACACCAATGTTATGGTGTACCTTCACACATCATTACAGATATTGTGAAAACCATTTTATCATAATTATATTCCAACATCTCCCATTGATTATGATGACCTAAATGGTTTCCTATTCTGATTTCTTTCTCAAGAGTATTACTCATAAAGAAATTCAATGTAACATCAGATATGTGGCTTCTTTACCTAGTGTGCACCATTCCACTTTATCTGATAACATTTTACACTTTAGTAAAATGACATCATATCCAAGTAACTAGGAAAAACAATCCATACCCGGTTACAAATGATGACTTAGTCCCACACTATACGCCACAATGTTATATAAATTATTTCTTGAAGCTTATTACGGATTTTACTTTCAAGACAATTTATTATAACATGGTTTCCTCGCTAGTACCCTTTATCTTTAACTGACCAAGTACTAAAGTACGAGATAAAGTCGCATCTACTTGTCCATGTTTCAGGCGTTCCTAAAACCATCCAATGATGCCCGCATCACGTCTCACACTACAACACATCTAGATGTTTTGCAAACCCATTGTACTCACATGCTCTCTAAATTTTTCTAGAGACAATCCCCTGGTCATCGATTCGGCCACCATCTCTTCGGAGGGTATGTAGTTGACCTTTACCTTTCCTCTCTCCACTATATCTTGTAAATAGTGATATTTAATATCAATGTGTTTTCCTTTGAAACTATTTACTCCACTCTTTATCAGAAAGATGGCAGACTCATTATCACAAAACATATTGACGAGCTCCTTAGGTATACCTATATTTAAATTATCGATAAATCCCTTAACCCATATTGCAGTACTTACCGTTGTGCTACATGATATATATTATGCTTCCATGGTAGATTTTGCAACACAACCTTGTTTCTTACTTAACCAAGAAGCAATCGTTCCCTAAACAAGACAATATTACCACTTGTTGACTTTCTGTCATCCCAGTCGCCTGCGAAAACTGCATCGCAATAACAAATTAAATCCAGATCATTTTAATCTGAAACAAAGTTTCATACCTTGGGTGCCTTTTAGATATCTAATAATTCTCTTTACTGCCATCCAATGTTGCTTTCCGGGGTTGGATTGATATCTACTTACCAATCCAACTGCATAACATATGTCAGGTCTTATGCTGGTCATAGCATACATCAAACTTCCAAC